ACAATATGTGACGCAGCTTGAGATGGCTTCCACCTTCGGCAAATTGATTTGATGCCTACCCGAAAGTGAAAAAAAATACCCTCACCACGGGTGTCAGCCTGCTGTTCTGTTTATTTCTAATATCCTGCCCTCGCAGGCGACAATAAACACGCCCCCGTGAAATTTGTGGCGAAAATTGTCTTTTGCGGCTGCCATAAAGCGCAGCCGATGTCATTAAAATCTCTTTTCGACACCGAGCTTCGCACGCAGCCATATCGATGGGATATCCTTCAGCCGGGGGCAATTCAAATGTTTCCTGTGGCGCTTGCCAACACCTTTGACCTCCGCACCCGACCACCCCTCGAAAAGGGCGAAGGCTGTCTTGCCCGAAATATCTCCCTTTTGTCTAATTTGATAAGGACGAGAAGGACGAGAAAAAAAGCATTTTGGCGTGTAAATTGCCTTTGCCATTTCTTTTTGGGAGGATATCGTGGGCTAAAGTGCTCAAATCGCTGCTGGCGCTGAAATTCCAGTTGCCGCCTCCTTTGATTTTCCTCGATTTCAATTGTGGAAAAGCAAAAGTTTTCCTAATTACTTTCAGTCATAATTTTTTGCCGGCCTGTTGGTTTTCTTGTCGAGAGCAGAAAACTTTCGCTTAACCCCACCGTGGCCCAGCATAATTTATTGGCGCAACTTCAAAAAAGTTTTCCCCATTTTCGGTTTTTTATATTCTCTTCCTATTTTTTTTTTTTGGCCTTTGTTCCAGACCAACACCTTTAACATGTTTTTGGCAGCCGTGGCGAATAAAAAGTGCAAAAAGTTTCCCACTCTATCTTCCCACCTCTTGGGGCTCCACCCAGCATGACGCGTTGAATAGTTTTCGCAGTTTTTTTTGTTTATTCATGTGCCAGGTGCAAGGTAATGGGTTAATTAGCCCTGTGCCTGGACCACCCTTGGGTTAATTAAGTGGCATGAAATTGCGTGGGATTCCCAATTCGATCCCCAATTGATGAGAAAACTTGATATAAGAAGGGTTAGATTGGAAAGATGAGTTAAGGGATCTAAAGATATTATAAGGGTTTCTGTCTGAAGGTTGGAAGATAAAATTCTATGAAATATTATCAAGCTAAATCCATTTATGATATGTGCCTTGATTGATTTTCTCCAATGTAGTCACCCCTTGGGAACATATCTGAGGGTGACTTTCGATCGGTCACTTTATCCATCTAATGGATTGCCTCTGCCTTCAGTTGAATTACAATTACTCTCCGTACAATAACTCAATCAGAGATTCAGAAAAGAATAAGATGACTCAACCTCATAGAGGTCTTCGGCATTCTAAGAAATTCATCCCCAAGTCTTAGAACGTATCATCCCTTGAAAATCTTGAAAGACGCCCCTTGCCAATATTTATTTTATAAACCTTACAAATTTGAGGAGAAAATATTTTTTTGGGGCCGCCATAGAATGCATTAGATGCGAATGTGTGCGAATTTCGAACAGCGAGAAGGAAGGAAGAACATAAAACCAAAACACAAAGGAACTAACAAGCGGTTCCACCACCCACACCACCGCCTCCCAGCCGGCAAACTCTTTTAAGTGATTTCAACCCGGAAATGCCCATAAATCGATTGGATTGGAGGAAAACCGAGGGGGAAGATGGGGCTCCTATATGGATGCAGAGAGGGAAATTCCATTAAAAAATAATCTTAAAAAAGTATAAGTCAAAATATAAAAGGCTAAAATAACTTCAAGGACCTTGATTTTTAAGAATATCCTTCCACAAGGATGAGTAAGAGGTTCAAAAAACCCCCACATCTTGGTCAAATATTTCTCAGTGCAGGCGCTTCCTTAGTGGCGGATGCATCAGACTTTATGGGCTAAATGAATGAATTGAAATGGGTGTGGACGAGTGTGTGTTGGTTGTATCGACTTGTGGCACACTTGTCTGGATTTTCCACCCACTCGACCGTTTGCTCCGCCCCCCCTCGTGTACAGTACAATGCAAATAAAAGTTCATTACAAGCTCGGGCCAAGGCGCTTAAAAAAAAAAGAAAAAAATTGTGGTAACCGAGGCTTTTGTTATATATAGTATAGTCTCCCTTTTTCCAGTGTCCCACTTTGTGTTGTGTATTCTGCCTCTTTTATGGTCAATGGCCTCTTTCTTGGAGCTTAGGACTGCGGCGGGTGGAATGGCCACGGATATGGGGAAGAAGTGCCCGGCCTCCTGGCCGGAAATGCCACATCCGTGTACGAGTCCATAAAGTCAATAAGGAAAAATGGAAGAAAAAGCCGGTTAAAGTGAGGAAAATTTTGAAATGCCAAAAGGGGAAATAAATTAACAATGAGCAATGATTTTCCAACTTCTGTTTCCTAACATTTATGATATGGATGTCCGGTTGGAAGTCCTCGCTGAAAGTCCTCTTATGGACGACATCGAAAGAAAGAATATGATATGGCATATCATGGGAGTTTTATTTTCGACAGCACTGCCTCATATTAATTGAAAATGTTGCCGATCTGAGGCAATTATCGTAAATTATGCACACGCTCCCGAATCCAAATATTATTATTATTTTTATTACGTGCGTAGGCAAAACAAAAATCAGGAAACTCCAGCAACCCTCTAAAATGTGAGACCATCTTAAGGGTGACTTGTGCATAATGAAATGTCAACAAATGTGAATGTTGGATAAGGAGAAGATTTCGAGTTGAGACTGAGGTTAGAACATGGGCTTTGTTTCGGTGGTGGATTCGGTCTTTGAAGTTAACTTGCGGAAATTGAAAACTTAATTGGCAGAGCTGTCATGTAGGTGGAATGTGATTTTCAAGTGAAGAAAAATTCTCGACACTTTTATTAAATTTAAATTTGAATTTTTGGCTATAAAATATCACATATCCTGGTCTTTATCCCCAATAAAATTTAACTAATTCTTGAAATCCTCCATCTGCCATAATATATCGTCCCATGGGTGACTCATGAACAGACATAACAAATAAATCCCCCAGAAAATCGGAGCCAGCCAAATCCCGTAAATCGCAAATTTTCTATGCATTTTTACCCGATTGCAGACTCGGAAGGAAAACGGAACCCCAGCAATACCAGACAGTTGGGCATACATACATACATATATATGGAGAAAAAAAAAACCATAAAAAATGCAACAGACCATAATAATTTCAAGCATACTTTTTTTTCTTTGAACATTTTGTGCTTTTGTCGCAATCTTCTACAGACTCCCTCGGCAAACCACTGGCTGCCATCGGATGCAAAGTCTGACTATGCAAAAATGCAGCAGCCAAAAAGCATATAAAATTATTATGTGACGAGGAACGTGGGACCGGGAGCAATGAGGACCAGGAGGCGGGACAATGCTCAAAGGCATTTCGGACTCGGCCAAAAATCAGACTCAGCATGTGCACATAAAGCTCAAATAAACTCAAGTTGTTGACAAAGGGGTTAAAGGCCATAATTGTTGGTATGAGAGGCTTAGTGATAACCGGGCACCGCACCGAGGGGCGCCTCCCGAACGTGCCAGACTGAAAGTGGAATTTTCATTGAATGTGTAAACACAACCATCAGTGGGGTTGAGCCCAGAGCTCTCCAGACGGGGTCTAACCAAACTGAAGTTTTTTTCAATGGGCCAATGGGCTAGACAATCACTGTTTTCTGGCTGTGTTAATGGAGTTTTGTTTGAAATATATATTTTATTAAAGTGTCTCCAGTTTTTCCTTAAATATTTTCTCTTCCATATCTCCATCTCGTGGCTTTGGCTCCCCTTTGTGTTCTTTAAAAAGCTAATAAAATGTATTATCAAACTTCTAGCAGAAGTTCTTTCCAAAGCAACTCCATAAAATCAAATTTATGTATTACCTGCATTGCCCCCATCTATACCGCTGTCTGGTGGGTCCCACAACTGCAGGTTTTGTCCTCTGGCCGCACTTTAAATAAGCATTAAATTGATACAGCAGAAAGTTGGTTCCTGCCCCCAAGACGACACACTGCCAGACACATTCTAATCGCTTTATAACTTCTAACGCAGTTTATCAGAGCCCTGCCGCAGCTCACACCCTCATCCCTTAATTCCTTTGCCAGTTCGCCAGTTCCACAGTCCAAAGCCCACAGCCCACTTCACTCGCCATTAAAAAGGCTCAAAGGCAAAAGTTATTGTCACGCACTGAAGGCAGCTCCATGTGGAGTTGTGTGGATGCACTGAGAAAAATAGAAACTATATAGAAAATTAGTATTTCCTATCTTTAATTGAGTACTTTTTCTTATCAATTAGTAATTACCATCACAGGTGAGCTTTCCAAAGTATAGAAATATTTTTAAAAACATACCTTTCCTATTCTCTGCGTGAATCCTGTATTGTAAGCTCAAGTCTCCTACCCATCAAGCCAATCTCCTGGCAAAAGCCCTCTGACTTCTTTCTCCCCAGAGTCTTCCTGCTGTTTTTGGTTTTTCTTGGCTCTTTATTTTTGCACTTTTTCATTTTTATTTTTCCTCTGGAACTGCGTCTGGCAAACAAGGCGGAAATTATTGTCGGCGGCGCGTCTTGCAGTCACTTTAGCTATTTTTTACTATTTTTCTTATGAAAGAGAAAACTTTTATTTGCATCTACATACAATATTTTTCTTGCCTTGCCAAACTGTTATTGTGTCTGTGGAATGTTTTTGTTTTTCTGACTTTGATTGCATTAGCTATGAATGGAAAGCTGAAAAAGTACCCCAACAAGTCGCTGATTAGGTCGAGTGACTAATTTACAATATAGATTACGCACAAATATTGCCAGTTTTATGGCCATTCAGATATTAGCCATAGAATCGCAGTGAATCCCTGTGAGTCACTCCATAACACACCCCTCGCGATAAGATAATGGACAATGAAAACACTCTTATCTCGAGTGTCGCAGTGAGATGTATATAAATTGGTCATTCTAATGGATTGGAAAACAGTTCGAATTCTAAACCCCAACAAGGCAGTTCGCTACGGGAATAAACACAAAAAGGATTTTATAAAGGAATTTAAACAAAGGATTACAAAATGTCGCCACCACATCACGATCGTCTCTTTGGAATCCACGTGGGCTTGAGCTTGGGCGGCCATGGACACCACCACCATCATCACCACCCACCGCCGCCGCCTCCGATCCACCATCACCACCACCACGAGCCGCCACACCACCACTATCCTCCGCCACCGCCGCCGCACCACCACCACCATGGACCTCCGCCGCCGCCCCACTTTGATCATCATCATCACCACCACGGAGGCCACTTTGACCATCATCATGGTCCGCCGCATCACCACCATCACTGCTAAGTCAGTGGTGTTAAGACACGAATTTAATTTATTAAAAAAACAATAATAATATATAATCCAAAAAAAATTACAAAAAGATCAAAACTACCAAAGAAAATAATAAAATGAACTTAAAAGTGAAAAGACAAACACAAAAATATTTTTCATTGATATTCCAACGGGCTAAAGGTGTCATCTAACCTTTGAACTTTTTTAAAAGTAAATATTAACCTTTTTGCTATTTACTTTCTTAAACTTAATATAATATTTGCGTCATTTCTGCAAACAAGAAAAAGTACTTCCCAATAACTTATATGACTTAATCGATCCAGTTTTTAAATAGAAACTTATCTTATCTTGATTGATGTGACGAATCCTAATCGGCAATCTTGTCATATAACTTATTGACGGTCTTTGGCAAAGTATTATTCGATTTCTTAGGCAAAAATAATTCTATAGAATTTATAATTAAGGAAATTTTAAACCAATAAGAAGATTACCTGAAACCGCAGACACTCCGACCAGAAGCAGACCACCCACCGAAAAAACAATTTGCTAAGCCGATAAATTCAAATGAAATTAAATATTATTCCAATTCGATTTAGATTCGCCTCGGGTGGGTCAGACAAAGTGCCTGCCAATTACAAAGCCATTTCAAAGTGTTTAAATTTTTTTTAAACATTTATTCTCTGTGGTTGTCACAAAACGCTAATTAGACAGCAGCTACCATATAAAGTGGGTTTCTTTATACAAGTATATATATATTTATTTCTGTGGGTTATGGCCTGTCATAAAATATAAAATGCTGCCCCTGGCGTGGGTCGTATAGGTATCGACACCTGGAAAATATTGGTAATTAAAATTTGCCAGTTGTCGGACAAAAAACCGAAAAACTCGCTTCCATTTTGGCCTGTCTAATAATGTTGTAAAACATGTTGCCATTAAGTTAAGCGACAGACGCCAAAACGCCCCAAAGGCAAGGGGTAGAAAGACAAGAAATATATAGAAAAGTTACTAGATGGTCAGGGTTATACCCTAGTCTTTGATTTTAATAAAAATGGTATGGAAATAATATTAACTTTAGTAAGAATAACTCTTTAAAAATGGAATATTTTGAAGATGTCTGTTTTCTTTAAAATTTGGCCTTACAGTAACGTACTAGCTTCTTAGAATATATCCTCCACTCTTTTTAAAGGGTATCTCAAAACTATACCATCACTATTCCTCTGACAAGCCAGGCTAATGGACTTGGTAGCACTAAGTGACACTCAAACACTCTCTTCAGGTTTTCGGACCAGTACTGTCAATTAAGTTTGAAAATTATTTTTTCGGGTCTACCTATCACCGACTTTTTGACAATTTCATGGGACAGGTCGTCAATTGTCGGCCATTTTGGGGGCACTGCAGTGCCCCGCCCCTTTAAATTGAATAGATGACAATTAACGTCTCAATTCATAAATGTCGTGTCGCGGAAAAATCCATTTCTCAAGTCGAGCTGCCTGCTTTTAATTAAAAAACTTATATTACGCCAGTGGCCTGACTTGATCCATGCCTCAGCCACAAATGGAGTTGGCTTGCAGGAGAGACTTCGCCTCAAACTCTGCGTATATCTTAATTGTTATTTGTATTTAATTATATGGCAAGTCGGGCCCAAGTTTGCGTCGAAAGTTGAAAATGTTGGAAAAACAACAGCAGCAGGCAGCGCCAAAGGAAAAAGTCAAGTCGAAGTTGCTTCGTTTTTTATTTTCATAATTAAAATGTTTACTTTACATAGTTGGCCAAGTGTAGACTCTGCCGGTATGTAGCTGATGCTGATGCCAAGAAGAGAAAAACGTGAGAAGACAATAGGCAGGGAGATGCGCCGCATCCGTCAGATACTATCTGTGATTATGCAAGAGGGCGAAAAATGCATGCAATAATAAAAGTGAAAAATTGGCAAAACTGCCGACTCACAGAAGCGTTGGCAGTCACGCTAATACACTGCCGGTGGGAAAGTAAACACAAATGTTTCTTTTAATTAAGGAAACTGATTCTCAAATGGTCCATGAATTCCCAAACACATCTCCCAAATAGCTTCTTGTATCACCAGTTAATCAAAACACTAATTTGCCAATTTCCTTTTCTTTCAGGTATGTACTCCCTGCAATTCCAGATCGTAAACTAGAATTATGAGTTGAGTAAGTAATGAAATGTTCAGACGCAGATCGTCAATCCGATCTGATTACCCATTAATGAGTTTACCCAACTAAAGTCCAACAAGACTGGCACTGGCAATCAAATCGGGAGAATAAACCTATTACCGATACTCACAGCACATCATCGTCCAAATGGTGGGCTAATCATAAGTCCATTCGCCCGGCAATCAGAGCCAATTTCTGGTACTCTGTTTGCAGGACTGCCTCAATGAATAAATTTAATAAACCCATGAAAAATCAAAAATACGATAAGTACGGCGGGACAACGGGGTCATCCTCCCACATGGGCCAATAAAAATTCCACAAAAAGAGGAAAATATTCCCATTAAATAAACATACTTGGAGTAGAGACAAAGCCCAGGCCATATGGAGTACGCATTCCGGAAACTCTACATACTTGTAGTTTCCCAAACTGAGGCCGCGTGTAATGTCGCTTGTTAGTACTAATGATGGGCTGGACCCCGGGATCCTTCTGCTCCATCGGGTAGAACGCAAAAATAAATTTGTACATCTGCGATAGAAGCGGCGATATGGAAGCCCATGGGTTCTTTGGCCAAAAGGCTTGGGCCACGAAGGAGCGCTGTGCCTGGTTGTCATAAATTGCCATGGAGCGCCAACAACAAGTTTCCTTTTGACTTTCAGGGTTCTATTTTATGAAATAGAGATGGTAGAGTGATGTAATAAAATTAGAAGAGAATTTATTAAAAAAGGGGTATTATTATTTGGGTAGAATTTGTCTGATATGTTGGAGCTTGCATTTTAGTCTACCTCGTTCTTAATCTAGATACCTCATTTTCTATTCACCATTTATTTTGAAAAACCCATCTCTATTTCTCAGTCAAGACCCCCAAGCCCGAAAAAAAATAAACAAAAACCAAGCCGACCACAGTCCATTGGATCCCGGCAGTCGCGTCCAGGCTGTAAAAATTAATAGCCAACATAATAAGCGGCATTTTATGACAAGCGTGCACCTTAACACACACATAGGCATACTGTGAGGCCACGCCCCTTTGGCCGGGCGCCCCCCGGATTTTTGGAGACGGTACTTTGGGGCAGGCATTTCTCGTAGCCTCACACGGCAAAAGTCATTAGGTGAGGGATCAGCTGGCCACGCTTCTTCAGCGGAGTCACTTTGAAAATTACGCAAATTGAAAGTTACATCGTTACCAAGCCGGCTAAATGGGGAAAACGAGGCAGAGCTGGTGGTGGATGTGGAGGGGAAAACTTCCATCCTCCAGTGGAAACCCCAAACTGTTGGACAAGTTATGAGCTTCATATTGGCGCTACAAGATCTCGCTTTATGATAATTACACGCAGCGTTTTAGATTTGTTTTTATACGATTTTGTCTAGGAAAATTGAAAAACTTTTCGCCTTGGCTTGGATTACCCAGTGTGTGTGAAAATAAATGGGCGATTGCATAAGATGTGATTGGGAAGTATTTTTTTTCTCATACAAGTATATTAAAAAAAGCTAATGGATTTTTTGGCTTTTAATTGGAAAATAGGAGTTTGTGGATGATTGAGTGGTCATATCTAACGACTTGTAACACATCCCGAAGAGCATTGAAGTCAAGCAACAAATAATAAACAGTTTCTCTAATTACTTTAAGCCGTTAACAGAACTTGGCTTAAAATCTCCACTCAACCCAAAAACAAACCATAAAAGTTAGAGAGCTCTTGAAAATAGTTGATAGCCAAAGCCTGATTTTTTATGCCTCACATAAGGCCAAATGATAAAAAATGGTAACCACTAAGCACAAAGTTGACATGAATGAATGAATTTTAAATTTTGTCTTGAAATTTGATTGTTTTTATATGGTCCTGAGTCACAATAAAATTGATTGAGTGATAACTTCAAACGGTAATGGCCAAAAAACAACTGTATGATGCTAATTAGCTTCGAATAAAGACAAAAACCTTAAAAGAGAATACGTTTGGGCCTTTATATATTATCTTTTCAAGCTTATTACGTTAATAAATCTTCCAACATAACTGATCCGAAGACGAATCACCAAAAATGGTATTTGTCAAAGTCCAGCAACGTCTTCGGGGGTATAAAATGCAAATTAGCTACAAAATGGTTTATCTCTGACCCCTTTCCGGTTTTATTCGATTTTTGTCCAGCCTCCGGCACTTTACATTTTTCTTATCTCCCTCGAAATGCATTTTCTTGTATCTTTTTATTTATTTTTCCATATTTTTTCGGTTTGTGGCTTGCATTTTTATTACTTGTCAAAATACAATAAAATTTATGGCAAGTTGGCAATATTTTTAACGACAAATGCGGCCCGGAGTGCATGGGAGAGGGAAGAGGGCGAAAAAAATTCAAAGAAATCTCCCCATAAATCATCAAAGTGGGGTCTGGCAAAAAAACAAAAGAAAATCTGCAAGAAAATATGGGTAAAAAAAGAAAAAAAAACATTGAAAAGAAAATGCATCATAAAACTTAAATTAGCCAAAGTGGGCGGCACTTTGCACTTTGGAGGTTTAGAGTATTCATACGAAGTATCAAGCAGAAGCCAAAATATAGGCACACATCAATACTAATGGCTGTTAAAAGTGCATCATAAATTTCTTAAGATGGCTTTTATTACATATAAGAAATAAAAATCATAATAAATGTGGCTTAGGAGGAGAGACTCGTTTATCTAAATTCCTCTAAAAAGTGGTTGTAAAATTTATTTAATTTCGAAAGCTCACATACCTCTAATTAATTACCCGTGTGTGAAAGAATTTTCTTCACATTAACGAACATCTGTAAATTGTAGGAAATATTTCACAAAATATTTATTGACGTCTACAAGTAGCAGATCCATTATTTCGATTTCCCTGAGAGCCCCGAGCTTCGA